CAGGAGATTTTGGAGCACTTCATGCTTCCATCTGCTGAAAAGCTTTATGAAGATGAAGATTTCATTTTTCAGCACGACCTGGCACCTGCTCACAGTGCCAAAACCACTGGTAAATGGTTTACTGACCATGGCATTACTGTGCTCAATTGGCCTGCCAACTCTCCTGACCTGAACCCCATAGAGAATCTGTGGGATGCTGTGAAGAAAAAGTTGAGAGATGCAAGACCCAACACTCTGGATGAGCTTAAGGCCACTATCGAAGCATCCTGGGCCTCAATAACACCTCAGCAGTGCCACAGGCTGATTGCCTCCATGCCACGCCGCATTGAAGCAGTAATTTCTGCAAAAGGATTCCCGACCAAGTATTGAGTGCAAAACTGAACATGATTATTTGAAGGATGACTTGTTTTGTATTAAAAACACTTTTCTTTTATTGGTCAGATGAAATATGCTAATTTTTTGCGATAGGAATTTTGTGTTTTCATGGGCTGAATGCCAAAATCATCAATATTAGAAACAATAAAAGGCTTGAACTACTTCAGCTGTGTGTAATGAATCTAATATATATGAAAGTGTCTTTGGTATGTTATTACTGTGTCTAGTTTCTAATTCAAATTTTGGTTCTTTTTAAAACACAGGAAAGGTTTCTCTTTACCTTGCTAACGTTTCGTTTGCCGACTGCAAAACATCCTCAGAGCTGACGCTGATGGTGGCGTCATTTCCTACTCCGTTTTTCTGTGGGCAGTAGAGGACGTTGTCGCCCTCTGCTGCCCGCTCTTCCCTTTCTGATGATGCAGTCCCATGCACGATCCAATGTGTAGACCCCATCGTTTCTGTTCATGGTCCCACATCCACGTCTCCTTATCTCTGTAGCTTCCTTTATCCATCTCTTGTATTTCTGTTGTTCGGTGTTTATGATCCCTGTGTTGTCCCAGTCCATTATATGGTTTTCTCTTATGCAGTGATCTGTTACGGCTGACTTCTTTATTGTGTTTTCTGCTTCTTGTGTGTTTTCGACTTGTTTCTTTCTCACACTCCTTTTTATGTTCTATTGTTCGTGTGTTGAGTTGGCGTCCGGTTTCTCCTATGTATGTTTTATTGCGGAGTTTGCATGGGATTTCATAAACAACTCCACATTTATGTCCAACTGGTATGTTGTCTTTTGGGTCTACTAGTCTGTTTCTAACTGTTGTGTATGGTTTTGTTGGTGTGTTTTGTTGTTTTTTCATTGTTGCTCTTATTTTTTCTGCATCATCAGAGAGGGGACAGCGGGGGGGACGGCGGGGGGGGGGGGGGGGGGGGGGGGCAGAGGGCGACAACGTCCTCTGCTGCCCGTGGATAAACAGAGTAGGAAGTGATGCCACCATCAGCGTCAGCTCTGAGGATGTTTTGCAGTCGGCAAACAAAACGTTAGCAAGGTAAAGAGAAACCTTTCCTGTGTTTTAAAAAGAACCAAAAATGGAATATGAAAGTCTTATGTTTATCAGTAAATTACAGAAAATAATGAACTTTATCACAATGTGCTAATTTTTTGAGAAGGACCTGTATATATATATATATATATATATATATATATATATATATATATATATATATATATATATAATTGTCTTCCTGGACAGTTTCATTTCTGGACAAAGGCTTCTTTCTTTTCTTTTTTTTATCCCCTTTTGATCTAAACATTCCCCGTGCTCCCACCAGGAACAGAACATGTTTTTCTCCATGTTAAGGATTTTTATTTCCCACCAGATTTCTCTCACTGACGCCCTTCATCCGTCCACCTTCTCTCCTCAGGCATGGTTCTCTTGGTTTTTTGTTGAGTCGTTTCTGTGCTACCATAGTATTGAGCATCCTCTTTCCTCCCAGTTCACATGCTCTCCGTTTTGATTGACTTGCACACTCTCACTGGTTAACATGTCTCATGAACATAAACACAATCAAAATACATAAAATATTTAATTTGCCATGCTTTCTGTCTGAATTTTGCTTTTCAGCAGAAGACACGGTTCATCTTCGGCATGAGATAATCTAATGAAATTAAATTAGGATTAGACTGAATGTGGAACTAAAATCCAAACCCAGACACAAAGGTACTCAGAGGTTTTACATGATCATACTGGTTTTTGAGCAGAGGACTGATTGCAGAAACCTTTTTTGTTGTTGTTGTTTTACCTGCTGCTGAAGCTCTCTTCCTCAGGTAGTTTGGAATTTGCTGCCCCCTGCTGAAACCAGAAGAAAGATTGTCCCACTCAAAAGCCAAAGGTGCCAACAAGCCATACTGAAACTGAGCCTTTTATAATTAAAGGAGGATTAGCATGAATTCTCAGGCTATTGCGACTGTGACTGTGTATGTCCAATTAACTTCTTTGATTCATTCTTCTATCATTTTGCGATTAACGTCAAACTAACATGAGATCTCAGATAATGGAATAAACTAGGTTTAAGCTAGTTTGTGACATGTCAGCTAATAATATTTTTCTTTAGTTTAACTCATCTGCTTCAGCTTTGACATTCTCAACAAAAAAACAGCCTCAAAACAACACAAAAATACATTAATCAACAATAAATGAACAATCTGCATGTGTACTCCGTCGTTTGTCCTTTCTACCTGCTCTTCTATCTCTAGCTTTGTTACCCATTACCTCCGTTTTAATCATCTGCTTCTCTCCATCTCTCACTCCCATCACACAATTATGTGCTGCCTTCTGGGCTCTTATCTGTGGAGCGTGGTATAATTTAAAAGAGACTAAAACCAGGAACAACGCAAAGCCATTTGTGTGAGATCAGAACTCACCAAGAACACTAAAAACACAAGACATCGTTCCGTCCCCAAATTTGTTTTCCAAGAACTCAAATAGACACAAACATAAAAGCATTTATAAAGATAAATAGTTCTATTTCCTTCACAGTACTAGGAGGCTTTTGAGCATTTTTCCTCCATCAAAAGTGAGATGGGGATAAGAATCTGGGCTGCAATGATCTTTGGGGGACGAAGATGACTTTTGGCCACACAGCACGTTGTATTTGTGTCTCGGTTTTGACCCGAAGCGCTGCTCCAGAACGCTGAGCGTGACTCAACTAATCTGCCCGCTCCGGAAGGAATAATGAGAGCAGGAACGCTGCCTCTTTATTCGCTCTTACAGACTCTTCTGTCCGATGTGTTTTCTCATCTGCTTTCAGACCTGAAACTGCATCCGTTACTGTATTAATGTAACAGGATGTTTTCCTCTGGATCTCATCACTTTGCAGCTTTTGGGTGCTTTAAAAATGAATACTCCTTTTCCCCTTTTGTAGTTTTTTTGACTAGTTTGTATCCACGATCATGAGTTGAATCTATATTGTTTTTGTTTTCTTTAAGATCTGTGCATTTACTTAAATATGTGTTTGATAGCATTGGAGCTGGTCTCAGTGCATGAGCAGCAGTAAAGGGAAGTGAAAGCAATAGGAAAACTCATCACATATTGGAAACGTTTAATTAAAATGCTTGTTTTAGAATAATCACAACCATGCAGCTTTGCATGAGAGCAATGCTCTAAATCCACATTTCAGTTCGGACTTTGAACCTTCTCATATCCGCTTCAAAGATGAAAATCCAGACTATTGGTGAATTTTTCTGACTATTATCCATCTGGTTACACATTTCCTCTGTCTGCTTATCTTTCTGCTGAGATGTTTACACCCAGAGAAATAAAAAAGAAGAGAATTTATTTTTTCAGCACTTCAGACAGGCTGATTCTGAGTTTAAAGAGGAATGCAGAGGGGTTTGAAATTCTCATTCTGGTTGATTTGGTGCAGAATCCAGAACTGTTTGTGGTCAGTAAAGTATAAAGTGAGTGCTCATGTGAGCAGACCTGTGTTGGATCAAAAGCAGAAATTAAAGCTGATTTCTGAAGTGTTTAAATGCTTTTTACACCAAACACACACTGTACTGATAAGAGATACAAATCAATGAGTTTTATTTTTGTTGTGACATGAAATACCCTCAAAGTAAAACTTTTATCATCCCAATGATCAACTGGAGACACTTCCTTATCTGTTCTTACACTATTTCAGCATACGGTGGTCTGAGATGTTTAATCCTCAGCGAATGTTGGGACCCTTCATGGAGGGGCTAGGAGGAGGCTCTCCATTTCTCTTAGGTCAGGCTGAGATAAGAAAGCGGTTGCATGTGAAATCTTTGCCATCACAGTTGGTGATATCATTTCAGATGACAGCAGACTGATGCACAAAGATGGATTTTGTGAACCACAACAGGGTTTAAAAAGAGCCCTGATGCAGTAGAAGTGATGAAACATTTCATATGTTGAGCAAAGTTACTCAGAATCTGGGAGTTTGTTCAAGTTTAAAGGTGCATTATGTAGAAAATAAAAAAATAACATCATTTGGTAAAATTTGGTTCCTGCAACCACTTTAAACAACTCTGGAGCTTTGTGCCGGCCGTCGTCAAGTTACAGTTGTCTGCTCTGAAGAATCAGCTTGCAGGATACACGGCAGCCCCACCGTTTATATTTTTTCTAACCTAAGTTCATGTAAAGCAATCCCAGCTAACTCTAAAATTATTAAGCCTGTTTTCAGGTGTTTTATGATGCGTTTTCTGTGGTGGCCCTAAAATTATGGACTGGGCTTCCTTTGCTCGTGAAGCAGATGCCCTCCATCCAGTCTTGTTTAAATACACAATTTTATCAATTGGCCTTCTTCCTCTGAATTCCTTTGTTTTATTGTGCTCTTTCATCGGCCACGCGTCTCCAAGTTTCCAGGTCATGCCTGGGTTTTCACTGTGTTTTTAAATTTTGTATTTTGGACTTTTTTTAGACTTCTTATATAAATATACTTTGTCTCCATCTATTTTATCATGTTTTTGTTTTATTGTGCCTGTTGTACTGTGCTGGCGTACAGCAACTTGGGCCTTCGAGAAGGTGGTGGAAGGTGCTGTAGAAATAAGGACGATGATGATTCAAATGAGATAAGACAACAATAAACAAAATGTCCAGAGTCTAAAGCCCACTTTCCTTCAGATTTATTCTTAAAAATGAGTAAGCAGACAGTTTCTGTATCCTGTGAAAACCAAAATGTGTGTAGAACAGTTTGGAATAGTAAAACACTTCAGTACAGTTCTGTATCAAGTGCTTTGAACATTTCAAAAGTCAAAAACAAAGTTCTTTTTTATTACATCAATCTCCTTTTTTTAAACAGTCTTCATCTTGAGAATAAAACCAGACTTCTAGAAAGAAATGTAAAAATGTACATCAATGTGATCAGTGTTAAACAGCAGGCTAGAATTTTGAACACACACATCTATGAACTTGTACAAACATCAGTGAAGAGGTGATATTGTATGAATGCACCTGCATCAGAGGGTCCATTATGGGTTTTAAGAATGTCAACACTTAAAAAGGAGCTTCACATACTAAACACTTCCTCGTTTTCTCTCGTTTTCTACTCAATCACTCACTTCCTCCACTCTGCAGCTCTTTAAGCCCTCACCTGCCTTTTTCTTCTTCTCCTCCTAAGAACTGTTAGAAAATGATTTTATTATTCCCTCAGATGCTCTCCTCTGATTGCATTTTCATCAGAAATCACAATAAAGAAGGGAAGTAACTCTTTGTTGGACAAAGGAAATTGGGGTTTAGATGGGACAGATCTAGAAAGTGAGACCAGCTCGGTTGCAGGAACAGCACACGCAGCCCTGCAGTGGCTCAGACAGCAAAATTAAAACTGGAAGGTTTGTGGTGTCAGACAAAAGGGCACACAAATGCAGGTCAGTAGCAATAATATGGCTGATGAAATGCAAAATACTGCAGATTCATCTGAGGCCTTTGTAATTATTCAGCCCAAGCATGCAATGAAGGGAAGCAGAACAAGAAGCAGAAGAAATATGAGGATATTGAAAGCAGCAGGAAGGGAGAGGGTGAAGCTGAGGAGGAAAGACAAGAATGAAAAGATGGAAAATAAGAGAACAGATGAGGTTTGAAATGCTCATCTGATGTGCGTTCGTCATCTCTCTACGGGCGGGGCAGGAAAGAAAAACTCTGGGTTTGAGGCACATCTATCTGTCAGTCTTTGTTAGGCTCAGAAAAAATACTGTGGAATGACAAGAGATCCACGACTTAAAGGAGGGCAGCTAGAGGAGGAAGACGAGTGTTTTGGACTCAGCCTGCGAGTCACATGCATCTATTTGTGGCCCAAACAGAAAAATAAAAGATGTTTTTTTTTCTTTTGAAACAATGTTTGAACCTCTTGCCTTTTTAGTTTTGCTGTAAACCTCCCAAGTTAACCATTGTTTGCAGTTGCAGCTGCTTCTGATCAAATTAAAATATAAACCTTTTTGTAAATGACTAAAACTTTTCCTTTTGAGGATGATGAGCTACTTCAGAAAACAATAAGTTGTAGAATCATCTCCAAAGCTGCTATTGTTTCTGATCCAGAGGTACAGCGATGCGATCCTCGTGCAGCACAACACGTCGGCATCATTCTGAAGGCACACACACTAGTGTGACCTTCACTCCCAGGTTACCAGAACAGATTTTAACCATGCTGTTAAACACACCTAATGGTTAAGCCTACAGGAAACAGTTGTGTTAAATGAAAATGTCAAACATGTTATTTAAAGTTTTGTGCAAAACAGAAGCAGACTACATAATCGTGTAAATTTCATTTTTTTTTTTACAAAACCAAAAATAGCTTCTCTGAGTAATTAATGTCACTTCTTGTTTGTTCGTTTGTTTGTTTTCTGCAAATGTCGATGTTGTAGTTTTTGTTTGTTGGGCTTCGGGACAACTCGGTCAGTTAGAAATGCGTCTCCTTCTCTGAAACGGTGGATATTTTGCCATCGACCTTGAGCTTTGCATCTTTGACAGCGTAAGGGCTGAGGGTGGCGAGTTTGCCTCTCATCTTTAGATCTGGACTGGGAGTGGTCAGTTTCTTCATCCTCTGCAGTGACAAAAACAAGATGATAATGTCATCTTTCCTTCTGTAGTAGTTGGGTTTAAAAACTGCTGCACGGTGTTATTGTATAAAAACGATAAATGTTGATTTTCATCTCTCTTTGAATCAATCGTGTCAATCACCGATTATAACATCACATAAAATTCCTCCGATTAAACTGTTGATAGATTCTGGATTGTTCACCTCACCAAAAGACCAAACTGGCTTTTTCCTGCCAAAAAATCTCATAAATGTCTTTATGGAAGTAATTATTACGATATTAAAGATATTTGCTAGAGACGAAAGATCACTTGCATTTCACACAGCTCTCTTCAGAGAGATTTGCTCCACTTCTGTTAAAACCACTGTGTTATGCTTGAAGTGTTTTCAGTTTTTTTGTCAACTTAAAAAAATTCTACAAATAAGATTTTTCCAGTGAAGGTTTGTACCTCGGAAAAGGTGCCAGGAGTCTTCCAGATCATCCAGATGATTCCCAGTGGGATGCACACCATGGAGGACATGGCCATGAACCAGCCGATCCCATAACCCCAGTCAGGATATGTGTACACGTTGTTGTACTTCAGAGGTTTGTATTTAATCAAGAAGAAGAGGAAAATCCCCTGCATGAAAAAGAAAAACACATTTTTAACAGAAATTCTTAAATTCTGAATTACGTTTTAAATATTTCACTGATCCAGAAGATGCTGTCTGACGAAATAACTGTTTTAGGATTGCAGATCTCTAAAATTATAATTATAATAATTTTAACAAATTTCCATTTTTCTGTCTCCTTTATTTAGTTTTCATTTAAAATGGATTTACAGGCAACCGCTGAATAACAATGAGATGACGCTTAGCTTGTTGCTTCACGAAGATTCTGGATAAAACAAGGATGGATGATTTCCCAGCTTCCCTCTCTGCTTCCTTGTGTTTCTTTATGCATTAAAATCACAGGCATAAACAGGATATTTTTTCTCTTTTTTAAATTTTGAAGTAACCTTGAGTGATCAATGACGTCAAAAGCTTTTTTCAAATCAATGAAAACACTAACAAAGTCATTTTTATTATCAATTGCTGTTGATATTTTATCTGTTAATTCCATTATTGCCATTGCTGTGGAATGTTTAATTCTAAACCCATATTGTTCATTGTTTAAAATATTATTTTTATCGATGAATTTATCCAACCTTGATACAAATACTTTTTCCAATATTTTAGAAAACTGTTGAATCAGTGACACTGGCCTGCAATTATTGAAACTATGTTTATCACCACTCTTATAGTACAAAGGAATGACTTTAGCTGTTTTCATTGCGTCAGGAAAATTTCCAGTAGAAAGTGATAGATTACAAATGTAAGTGAATGGTTCAATGACAGATTCTGTGATGGTTTTAAGAGTTATGTCCAGATACTGATAATCGGTTGATCGTTTGTTTCTGCAATTTTTTACAATGTTTCGTATTTCTTCTTTATCTACTTTGTCAAAGACAATACTATTGACAGTACTAATCATTGTGGTCAATTTATCTTCTATTATTGGTTTGTTTTCCATCAAACTCCTACCTGCATTTACAAAAAATCATTAAACTCATCAGTGGTTTCTTTATCATCATAAATATCTTTTTTGTCCTTAGCAAAATGCTTTGGAATGCTGGATTTTGTTTTCTCTCTATTAGTCACACTGTTTAGTATTCCCCAAGTAGCTTTTGTGTTATTTTTATTCTGATTCCATAGATTACCATAATAATATTTTTTGCTTCCTAATTATTGTTACCAATTTATTTTTATATTTTTTATATCTATCTTCTGCTTCCCTTGTTTGTAATGAAAAAAAACTCCTATTTAAATTATTCTTTTTTGCACACGCATTCTTTAATCCCTTAAGGCTGGTTTATGCTTGACGCGTCCGCGAGGTCCGCACGGCAAAATTGCATCATTTTAACAACCACTTCCCTCCACCGCGCCTCTGCACAGCCCAAAATTTCCGCAACGCACACCTAGGAAAATTTCTAACCACGCGGACGGTCGGACCCGGAAAAACATGGCGGACCGGCAAGAACTAGTATGGCAGAGGTTCGTAAATACAGACATTTCTATGATTCAGCTCTCAGAGATCACCGTGATCAACATGTTGTTAATGATTCTTGGAGAGAAATAGCTCGCACTGTCGGAAAAGACGAGGACGCCGTTAAAAATGCTGGAATGCCATGTTGTAAACAACAGTCATTTTACTTCTACTATGGTGTAGTGTTGGATGCATGCTGTAGAGCTCCATGCTGCCCCGTTCAGTTTGGGAGAATATTGGCTCACCGCAGAGACAAGGCGCATGAAACATAAATGCTGCAAGTTGTGAAGCGCGTTCCATCCGGAAAGTAAATGCGTCAAGCATAAACCAAGCTTTAGTCATCCAAGGTTGATTTTCCCTTTTACCTGTAGATTTGATTAATTTGCAGTTATTATATGACTTCACCAGCATTTTCATGAAGGATGCGTATGCAGCGTTGACATCACTGACGTATACCGCCTTCCAATTTTGTTTATTAAGATCTTTGTTTAATGCCTCCACAGCTTTAACTGATTTATCTCTTCTGTAGTTCATGGTCATGTTTTGTTTTATGGGATATTTGTATTTGAAGACTGCGAAAACAGGTAGGTGGTCACTAACATCCGTCATTAATATCCCTGTTTTCCTGACATTTTAAAATGTTCACTTTTCTCTTCTGTGGAGTTAGAATTTTTTTAATTGGCGGACCTGTAAGATGAACTTTTAAATCTAATAAGTGTTTTATTCATTAATTCATAAAAACAAGTGCACCAGCACTCTGATTAAATCACATCAGTGAAAATTTGATATTTTTCAAAGTTAAATGGAAACCTCGATCAGAGACACAAACAGAAAAGTATTTAGTTTTCTGTTTGTGTCTCTTAAAAACAGCAAATGGAACGAAGCAAGTCAATATCTCCCATCTGGGTTTCGTTGCTGCTGTTTGTGTGTGTGTGTGTGTGTGTGTGTGTGTGTGTGTGTGTGTGTGTGTGTGTGTGTGTGTGTGTGTGTGTGTGTGTGTGTGTGTGTGTGTGTGTGTGTGTGTGTGTGTCCGTGCGTGTTGTGTTTGTTGCTGTTTTTGTGACTGAGTTGAACTCACAGCACAGATGCCCGGGGTCAGGATCATCCAGCACCACTTGATGAAGAAGACGGGTTTGTAGCCAATCATGTCCTCAATGTTTAGGTAGAATCTGTCACTTCCTGAAAGCAAATAAGTCTCACTCAAGACGTACTGCATGCGTCATCCAAGTAATGATGTGACTGATGTCTTTGGATGGTTTTTGGTCACGTGAACATGGCTGCTGATGGGATGTGATTCAATTTTATTCTGAATCTTTCAGGGAAAAAGAAGAAATACTGGTAAAAAAAATACCGATTTCCTGCTTGGATCAGCAATACTATTCATGTGTTCACTGAAAAGCTAAATGTGCATAAAATAGAGCTTATTTCATTAGTGAAAAATATAAACTTTACTGCGTAGTTTATGTTTTATTTTGTTTTAATTATATTCCTCTCATGAAATGTCAAAAGAACCATGAGTGTGTTTGAGATGATTCTCCAGCAGGGGGCAGAAAAACAACATTTTTCCATCAGCACCCTTTGAGCTTGTTTTATGTTTTTTGATCTGTCACAGCTGTTTATTCCAAAACTGTAAAACTGTTATAAATCTGAACAGTTAAAGTCAAATGTTTGATGACTTTGTTTCTTACCGTACACCCAGCCTATACAGATGGACTCAAATATGGCCACGAAGAGCAAACACATGCCACTGGCAGCGTAGGCGTCGAACAGCTGGAATACGTACATCCCTCCCTGATGACACAAGTTAGGAGTTAGGTCTCACATCATCTCAATCTGATTTCATCAACCTGGCAACACATTTTAACATTGTGAAATATGCTGCAGGTTGCTGACACAGATGGCCTCACAGTGGATTGGGGATTTTAAACATTGTTTCTATTCATAGTTATTCTTAAATATTGACACGTCCTACTGCCCTTTTCATTTGACCATATTGTCCCCAATAGTGTCCTTTAAAACCATTTCATAATCATACACTTTATTTTTGACACAAAGAGCCAAACATCTATCTGAGTCAGCATACGGGAGGGTGGGCTGAAGTGTATTACAAAAAAAATGAAAACCTTTTCATGGTTGAAAAACCATCTTGACTGTGTGAGGGATCAGGTTCTTCCCTCTCACTGAAGAATAAAGATTAAAGCTCTTAAAAGCACAGCAGGACTTCTGTGAAGGCTCAAAAGTCTCACCGTCCACATGTTGGAGTTCAGATGTGTTCCTGTTTAATAACAGAATGTTGGTTTGGTGTAGCTTAAATGTTTAGAGCTGTTTTTATTCTGAAACGAAATGAAATGTAACAAAGTACCTGTCTGGATGTAACAATGATGATGAAGTTGAGGAGGAAGAGGAGGAGGAATTGGATTAAGAGGATGATGATGATGACGATAAAGAAGAGGAGGAGGATGAGAATGAGGATGAAGATAATGAAGAGGAGGAGGGTGAGGATGATGATGATGATGATGATGAAGAAGAGGAGGAGGAGTATGGTGATAATGATAATAATGATAAAGAGGAGGAGGATGATAATGATGATAATGATGAAGAGGACGATGATGACCATGATGATGATGGTGATGATGATGATGAGGAGGAGGAGGATGATAATGATGAAGAGGAGGAGGACGATGATGACCATGATGATGATAAAGAGGAGGAGGATGAACATGATGATGATGGTGATGATGTTGAGGAGGAGGAGGATGATAATGATGAAGAGGAGGAGGATGACCATGATGATGATGGTGATGATGTTGAGGAGGAGGAGGATGATAATGATGAAGAGGAGGAGGATGACCATGATGATGATGGTAATGATGATGATGAGGAGGAGGAGGAGGATGACCAGTATGATGATGGTGATGATGATGAGGAGGAGGAGGAGGACGATAATGATGATAATGATGAAGAGGAGGAGGATGACCATGATGATGATGGTGACGATGATGAGGAGGAGGAGAAGGATGATGATGATGAAGAGGAGGAGGACGATGATGACCATGATGATGATGGTGACGATGATGAGGAGGAGGAGAAGGACACTGATGACAAGGAGAATGAGAATGATAAAAGATGGTGAAGATGAAATAACTTCCAGAAACACACCCATTAGTAGCCTTTTTATCACAAATAAAGATAATTAAAGACTAAACCGTAGTGAACACAATAAATATTTATTGAATACTTCCATGTGTTTATGATTTACCAGTTTAATGGTACCGTTTTTACACAACAGTACTACATGTTTAATCAATGACCCAAAGGAGATCATGCATGTTTGAACACACACAGACGGGATGGCTCCTTTAAGTGATGTAACAGACTCTCACCTCGCAGCACATGATGAGTCCGATGAAGAAGGAGATGACGGACATGCCGAGGATCAGCAGTTCTCTGCGGTAGCCCCTCCTGAAGGTTTCTGGGTACATGTCCACCACAGCCGTCACCAGACTCTCAACACACACAAACTGTCAAACACAAAATAATACCTACATGAAATAAAGATCATAAGCACTAGAAAACTGAACAAAAAGGAAAAGGTTTACACAGAAAATGTGCTGAACCTAAAAATGGATAAAATGCCAGTTTGTCTGCAACAGTCTGGTTGTGAGACAAAGTTTCACCACAGGAACATTTTTAGTTTTAGGTCACGGCCTAGAGCTTGTTACGTTCATTCGTTTGTTTTGACTTCCTTTTAGCTCAGCCCATCATCCACCAGCAGCTTGTCTCTTACCCACCTGACTGTCCAGGCCGAGGAAAATCAGCATCATGAAGAAGAGACAAGCCCAAAGAGGAGACAGAGGCATCATGGTTACAGCTTTGGGGTATGCAATGAAGGCCAGACCAGGACCTGCAGGAAGAGAAAAACTAACATCAAACATCCCAAAGAAGACAAAAACTGTTCGATACATACAGTGTATGTAAATATTTGGTTTTAGTGCATTTATATTAGTTTATTTTGATTGAGTACACGTAACAATGTCACACTCTGATTGTGTAATCTTTAATAATTGTTACCACTTTTTGACAACTAGTCTGGTTCTATCTCCAAAAAGATAGTCTCTTTAGTATTTGGTGTTATACAGTCGGTGCACACCGCTTCACCGATTAACATATGACTCAAAAGCCTGAAGCAGAAAAGAGGGATTAAATCTGAATGTCTCTGAAACACAAACATGTTCAAGTATTAAACAGCCAGGGAAGTATTTCCATCCATTAGTTGAGTGCCAGTCTGAGCTCTGTGTGCAGAATGCTGTACTAACTCAAAAAGAAGACCTACACAGATGCTCTCAGGGAGTGTGTAACTTTAATATTTTATAATTTAAGTGGAAGCTGTTTGATTTTCTTTTCTCAGAAAATTGTGTCAGTTTGTAAACAGGTTGCATAATTCCTCTAATTTCACTAAAAAGTCCATAAAATGGGCTAAAAGTGAAGAACTTTCTGGCTCAGAAAGCAAAAAACACCCAACCAGCATTGTGTTGTTTAGGAGAGCATCGTCTGCAGGACGAAACTCTTGTCTCTGCTGCAGCCGAAGACAAACATCTCCATTCTCTTGCTCTGTCACTTTCCCTAAATCATTCATGCTGACTTAAATAAACCATAATGCAGCGGTCTAAAAGCCTAGGTGAGGGTGTTATATAACTGGGAAGGATTATCTATTTTAGCACAATAAGTTATGTGAAGGCATGAAGATTCTCTTTTCCCAGTCTGCCATGGCTGCACAGGACCAGCAGAACAAACTCGGATTTATTCTGAGCATTAATCCGGTTCTCTCACCAGATTCAGCCACAGCCTCGATGGGAACATTTTGTTCGTAGGCCATGAAGCCCAGCACAGAGAAGATGGCAAAACCTGCCACAAAGCTGGTGCCGCTGTTCAAACAGCACAGCATGATGCAGTCCCTGAGGAGGACAAAGACACAGCACTTTCTGTTTGAGCAGTCACTGGACATCACACCAAGTAACACAACCGTGCTTTACCTCAGAGACACTGTGTTATCACCGTTTAACAGTTGAGTCATCTTTACCTGTAGCAGTTATTGTTGTAGGAATTGTAGCTCCCAAGAGCGGTGAGACAGCCCAAGCAGATGGCATAGGAAAAGAAGATTTGGGTTCCTGCATCCACCCATACCTAGAACAGCAAGGTCAAAAGGATTCAGCAGCATGTGGTGTGACCTTCAGGGACAACCAGGAGACATGAGTGACTCAAGGTGCAGCATGCATCAGCGTTGACTCAGTCAGCTCACTTTTAAAGGTTATGATTATTTCAGAATGTTTGAAACCGTTCAGATGTTCTACATGTTTGAACGGTAAACTGGTATAAGTTCTCAGTCATCCAGCTAATGGGAATTCTTGGTTTAGGTGAGAAAAAGGCCACTTATCCATCCATCCATCCATCCATTGTCTTGTGCTAATTTGGGGTCAGGTTATGGGGGCAGTAGCCTAAGGCAAGAGGCCCAGACTTCCCTCTCCCCAGCCACTTGGGCCAGCTCCTCCGGGGGAATCCCAAGGCATTCCCTGGCCAGGTGAGAGACATAGTCCCTCCACCGTGTCCTGGTTAGCCACCCTTGCCAAGTTTTTCATCTCAAAGTGAGTCTAATGAAAGACTGGCTTAGGTAAACTTTTATGGTTCTTTTTTAAAGAACACGGAGCAGCTGCATACATTTAAACCAAATGAAGCTAAAAGTTCACTTAAGTTTTTAATATTCGGGTTTTTATCAGACTCAAATACTTTTCACTAGTAAAGTTAATTAGAGAATGTAAATGAAACTGTATGATAATCTCTGTTCTACGCTCTCATAAACGTGATACTTAAACTTGGCTTTCCCTCCTTATCCAGCTGAGCACCATGGCTTCAGACTCAAAAGTGTTAACTTGCACCTGCTGCAAACTGCTCCAGAGGTTTTGGCTTGATTAGGCGAACACATCCACATAGTTCATTTTTAAAAAGCCATTTAAAACTTTAGAATTTCTTACACTGCAAAAACTGGGTTTTAAGAAAGTAAAAAAAGCCTAATTTTTTGGACATTTTGTCTCATTTTTAGTCTATAAAGAAAAAATATTCTCTAGAAAAATAGCATTAGGTGTACTTAAATAGAATAAATAATTTTAAATATGATCCAAACTTTCTTGTTTTTAGTAAAAAATAAATAAAAATCTGCCAATGGGAAAATTAAAAGTAGCTTGGCTAGAATTCTTAAAACTAAATGGTAAATAGTAAATGGTCTGTACTTGATATAGCACCTTCTAGAGTCCTGGAACCCCCAAGGTGCTTTACAACACAATCAGTCATTCACCCACTCACACACATTCACACACTGGAGGGGATGAGCTACGATGTAGCCACAGCTGCCCTGGGGCACACTGACAGAGGTGAGGCTGCCGAGCACTGACGCCACCGGTCCCTCCGACCACCACCAGCAGGCAAGGTGGGTTAAGTGTCTTGCCCAAGTACACAACGACAGCAACAGACTGAGCGGGGCTCGAACCTGCAACCTTCCGATTATGGGGCGAGCACTTAACTCCTGTGCCACCGTCGCCCAACTAGTCTATAAATCTAAATTTAGATTCTCATGCTAGTTTCTAGACTTAAAATAAGATAACATGTCTAAAAAGTAGGTTTTTTTTAGAACTCTGTTTTTACAGTGTACTTACTTAATTACTGGCTATAAATGTGTGATGTGACGAGCAATAAACTCTCAAACATGGTTTACCTTAAACACTGTTTTACATCAGCTTCTTCAAATCAACCAAACACATGAAAACGGTTGTTCAAACTCCTTCTAATACCCCAGAGGGGCTGAAGATCTGGTCCAGTGATCAACAACCACAATGAAAGCCACTTTCTTCCTCCTGAACACATTTTGACCATCAGCCAAACTCTCCTCTCCAGACTTTCCCAGGGAGGTTGGACCCTGTTGTCCTAAGGGACATGGTGGGGAGTTCAGGTATTCAAGAGCAGGTCAGAGTTCAGAGTAGAGTCACAGACTGACCACATTAGATGGATCTGATTGGTAGTGATGGCTTAAGGAGATTCTCTAAAGGAGGTATTTTGATGATGTTCAGAAGGATTAGGGCCCCGGCACAGACACAAGAACATTTTCTACCTATCGGTGGTTTGGCGTCACCAGGGATGAGCTACAAGTGTTACTGTAGAGAGGGAGGCCTGACAGTATTGTCCCAAGATAAAGTCAGAGATGAATGGATGAACAGCCAGATTGGGTGGAATGATGGATGGTCAGACAAGGTTATTGAACAGAAGAAGGTTTGAGTGAACAGGTTAAGCTGACTTTGAAGCATTAAAACTCCAAATCATTGATCATGATTCAGTATTACAAAAGAACACTTCTGAACTCTTGATGCTGCATTTCTATTCTTCCTTTGATCCCTAAAGAAGCAAAAACAAATAAAATTATGAATCAACCACATATTCAAGTATTTTTCCCTCCCTAATGACAAATTTATTGACTCAAATAGTTTTCATCCCAGAGCTTTAAAATCTTCTATATGAATCGTGTTTGCAGAGCAGCGCAGGACCCACGGGATAGCGCCAGGGTGCTAGCAGATGCAAACCTAAAGCATCAAGGCTATTTGAAAACTCTCTCACATCACCATTCAGCGACTAATCTCATTTCCCCCAGTAAAACAATTAACAAACGCAAGGTCTTCGCTCCCTCCTGGGAGTAACCACGGTAACTTCTGTGACCTCACAAACACAGAACTGTTCCTGTGGAAGAACAGGCTTTTCTCTCCTAATGTTCATTAATGTTCCCTTTAGTTCACTCTCGGCTGATGGCCGCACAGCGTAGAGGAGCGTTAAAGGCCCAGGCTCAGAGAAAATCATTTGTTGATGTTGTGCCTAATTTGGCTGTCTTCTGTTTGGTCATGTTGAGACTGTGGCTCCAGGAAACGTTTCTACTGCGTGAAAGCTGGATGGCGCTGGCTGTAAGATAGTGTCCTTGTAATGTAAATCCACGGCTCACAGTACCGCCTTACATCCCTGACTTCAGCTGCAGATTTACGAACACGGATACTGCTGCCATAATGCCACAATCTGCCGTTTTACTGCTGTTACTAAAAAAAAACCCTCAAAGCATCTTTTAAACGGTTTCTTAAAAACAAAAAGCTCGGTTTAACTTTCTGTTTCACATCAGCTTTTGCTGAAATTTATCAGGATAATGCTGGAGGTAGTATTGTGTGACGGACCATTTGAGGGCGATGAACCATAACAAAAGGGAAAGAAAGATTGATCAATAGACTAAATGTGTCTTGCAAATATTATGCATATTGATACATTTTAGAAACAAATTAACTAAAGTTGTGCAAGTGCAGGATTCCCTTTCAGTCATGTCACTGTCTGCTCCTTCTCACTGTCTGATTTTAAAACAGTAGTAGTTGTGTATTAGCAAAGAAACACCCATAAATGTATAAAGTAGTAGCTGTTAAGACTTGAAAACTTGTTCATTTCTGACTGTGCTGATTTGTGACAATAAGAGAGAGAAGAAAATGTGAAGAACAAAGCCACAAGCCAAATATAATCAAAAATTAGACTGGAGCTCACAGATTGGTTTGCTGACTTAAAGGTACAGCAGAGGACCTTTTATCGGAGCAGAACCATTGGTCCGCGTAGCTGCCAATCATTCTGGTGAAGCTTTGATGCAAGGCCGTTATACGTGCTAGTTCCTGGGTTAGTTTTCACTTCCTGCACATTCTGTTTAGGTGCAGACCGATACGCCTTCATTCCTCACCGTTAGAAAGCAAAGACTGGGCTCTCCACAGGCGTCTCTGTTGCCAGTGTTCTGCTTGACAGGTAAGCTAAAGTTCAGCATGCTATTTGGAGAAATTAATTTCAGATTACTGCTAGAAGAAGTGCTGCAAGGCCGGCAGTTATTTGTAAACAGAATGTGTATTTTTTCAAAACGTGGGTTTTTCCTGAAATTCAGAAACATCCTCCGCCATACCTTTAATATGCAAACAAGCACCAATGCATGGACTCTTACTGTGTCTCTATCAGAGTCAACCTCCTCCTCCTCAAAAGGAATCATGTTTATCTTCTTATTTTCACTTTATTTGAGGTTTATTGAGGTTTATTGTGTAAAAAAAGTACCTCTTTGGCGCCACCCAGTCCAGAGTAGGTATTGCCTCTACGGTAGCCCACACGCCTCAAAAAGGCAATATGTCATCAGTTGTATTCAACACCTGATCGGGTGTGGATGTGGAGAACTCTGTGTCACTCGCTCTGACATCTCCAAGAAGGAGCTGGCTCAGATCGGCTTTAAGAGCCGTTTCGTGCATATCCGACACATCAATAGTGTGGCTGTCAGAAAGCCTGATAGCGCTGCACTTTATTTAACCACATTAAAGTAACGCATCACTTTACAGGCCCAGCAATGGTAACGGCGTTGCAATGAAGAAAAAGAAGAAGAAGAAGAAGAAGAAGAAGAAGAAGAAGAAGAAGAAGAAGAAGAAGAAGAAGAAGAAGAAGAAGAAGAAGAGGAGAAGAAGAAGAAGAAGAAGAAGAAAATATCATTTCTATAGTGCCTCTCAAGATAAAAATCACGAGGCGCTTCACAAAGATTGGAAAAGTAATTAATTAGACCATCCCGTTACCTAAAAAATAACGCCGTTAGTAGAGCTGTTATACTTAAATGCTGCTATTCTCAACACTGGTCAGTTGTTAACTTAAAAATGTCCCATTTCTCAGAATTTGTAAAGTATATTTAGTTTCATGCTAACCATACAGTTTCACTCTTTTTTAGTAAAGTTTTACTTTAAAATACATCTGATTGATCAATTTACAGTCACAGCCAACCATTCTTGCTCATCTATGTCCAAAATTCAAGAAAACAGATTTCAAAGAGAAATTATAAAATCTAAAACTCATATAAACAACATAATCTAAGTTACTCATGCAAGGTTCTGCAGATTAAGAAATAAAGCCCACTTGATACTAATTTACAACAATGACTATTCCTTTTCGTGTTGTGGAAACAAAATGTCTGAATACGCTCAAACCAGGAGCTAAAACGTTATTGTTTCCCGGAGTTCGGCCGAGTTTGGTCTAAAACGGTGGTGGCATGATTTTAAAACAAGAGTTTTCTCTGCTTGCAGAAAGGCGAGTGTAAATGAGTAACACACATTCAGCTATGAGGAAGAGAAGCAAGTGTGAGAAGTGTAATGAGGATGGAGGAACACCGTCAGGAAGAGAGGAGCAGAGAGTGGAGGAGGCTTTGTGAGCTCAAGGGTGTAAACGCAGAGGATAACACACAGGCACACACTCCACACAGCCTTGTAAACAGAACAGAGATGCGATTGTCTCAGAGGATGCTAATTTAACACTGAAGTCAAAAGTTATGTCCTCAATAAAAACCACCTTCCTTCTTTATCTATCTCCTCTTGTTATGACTCAGGGCTGTTTGGAGTTTTCCCTGAGCTTTAGAGCGTGTGTGTGTGTGTGTGTGTGTGTGTGTGTGTGTGTGTGTGTGTGTGTGTGTGTGTGTGTGTGTGTGTGCGTGCGTGCGTGCGTGTGTGCGTATGTGTGTGTGTGTGTGTGTGTGTGTGTGTGTGTGTGTGTCGGCTGTGCTGAAGAGAAAGGTACAGAACCAAATTATTTAATTAATTAGCTGCGCGTTCTCCTGTCCTCTGTCTTCCGGGCCACACACACACACACACACACACACACACACACACACACACACACACACACACACACACACACACACACACACACACACACACGCACACACACACACAACTGTCTCAGCTGTTATTTTCATTAAGGAGTGTGCACGTACACCATGCGTGCCTCGTGCACGAGCCTACTATTGAAGCTGCAGTTACGCTTTTGGCCTGAGGGGGCAATCGCGAGCATAAAAATTCAAAACTCTGTAAAGTCCCTTTAATTTTAACACAAGAACATGTGTCCTCAATTGTTACCCCAGGCCCCCTAGACACCCTGGATCGTAACACCTCTAAAATCATCGGTCTACATAAATTACAAGTTCCTGTCCTACTTTAGCTTAATATTATCGTACAATAACTAAAACCCTAAAACAAAAAAGACAGTGTGTTTATCAAAACAAAACATGGTACAAAAAGCTTGGATTGCAGCAAGAAGGAAATTTAATGTTGGAAGTAAAAGGATGTATCTGAGCTCACGCTTTTTAATTAGGCACCAAACTTTTCTCGTTATCACATTTAAGCTGTCCCACCATGGGAACTAGCGGTTGATATGGAAAGTGCCAAACAGGTGTTTAGGTGTAAACTAAAGCTGCCAGAAAAGGAAAATGCTGATTTTTAAAGCCTGTTTTTTCTTTCACCTCTTCAAAAACTGAGATCCACTAGATTTTTAGCTCTTTGCTTTTGGTGCAGAGTTTAAATCTAAGATCTTTTAAAACTTGAATTTTAAAACAAAATTGTTCCTTTATTTTAGAGAAAATGTCTGAGTCTTTGAAGTCTTAGTAATTTTATGGATTTTAAATCCAACCATTGTGACTAAAACAATAATGAAATTCTCTCTCCAACAGATTTAAATTTTTACGCTGCAAAGACAAATGGAAAACAATTGATCTGATAACATGTTGACAACGTTCTAACATAGTGTAGTCATAAATGCATTGTGTAGATTAAATAAATGAAAATAACTATTAAAGTGGTTCTCTCGCATTTGTCTAAAAACCTCTGCCAATAAAACGTTTCGGGCCGAGAGTAACTATTGCGCCATGCAGTTATAGCTGAACCGCTGCGCTTCCATTCATTACGCACTCACGTATTTATTAGCAGCACACCACTGGTGTGAGAGGCTCTCCGCTCAATAATATTAGAGAAGGAGAAACAGCCGGCTGCTACCACTGCTGCTTTAGGACAAACTACCAGAATCCCTAAAAGATACACCATTTGAAGTCACGGACAACAAAAGACATTTGGACCTAGAAAATGGCAACTGGTGTTTAGTGTCATCTCGTTTCTGCTGGCATTGCAGGTTTCTGATTCCAGCAGAAGCGTCTCAGGGAAGATACCCGAGAGGATGAGTGATAGTTCCGTGACCGTGTTTGCGTTCAAAACATAGCCTGTTCTGTAAATTTGCTAAAACAACTTTAACTCACATTAGTTCCACAAGCTACATTTACCTGTTTGCTGGCCTCTTTAGCCTTTATTTTTAACAAACTTTGTCTTTTTCAGCTCAAGCTATCATGAATCACCATTATCTGGTGCTCTGTTTCCTGGCAACCCAAGCTGTCTTCTTTATCAAAGTCAAGAAGTCTAAACGTGAGTGTGTGTGTGTGTGTGTGTGTGTGTGTGTGTGTGTGTGTGTGTGTGTGTGTGTGTGTGTGTGTGTGTGTGTGTGTGTGTGTGTGTGTGTGTGTGTGTTAACATGACATTGTGAACTTTAGACCCCACAGGCTCTGTTTTTCTAGATTAGCTTCATCATGAGTACGAAGGCTGAGGACAAAACAACACATGAAAGCACTGCTGCAACAGGAGTGGGATGCAGAAATACAGCCATTTACATGCATTCACTATAGTAAAAACACCACCTGTACTTCTGGGACTTCGACCCCCTGCTACTTTCTATAGATACAAAATTCAGGAGAAACAATCAGTTTGATCTGATTTACCAAATTTAACATTCAGTCATTTAGAAATACAGCATTTCGCTGATATTATTTCTTTTTTCAATCAAAGGGACAAGCGTTAATATTCAAATTCTACAACAAGCCCAAAACTGGAGCATTTGCACCCTTGTCAATTTTCAGAGTGTTTTCAGTCACCAGCTGGAGACAGACACAGAGGTGAGAGACCTACCTGAGGGTCAGAGAGACGAGAAATATCTGGGTAGAGGTAGAACTTGATGCCATCAAAGGCTCCAGGCAGCGTGACTCCTCTGATCAGCAGGATCAGCAGCATGAAGTACGGGAAGGTAGCTGTCACATACACAACCTGCAGGATAAAAAACACACATCCGTTAAACAGATCACACAACACACGACTGGTACTGAATAAGCTGCATGCTTCAACTTAAGTTTTTGAGATTCTATTAAAAAAGTATCTGCCTTTCAAAGGAATGATTTACTTATTTGACATATTTGTCAATTGCACTGGGAAAGGGCGGGGTCAGGATTATTAGATTCCTTTCAGCCTGATATTATGCACAGCCTTCTGCGCTGTGGGTGACTTGTTCCTGCTAGCATGATGGTGATGATCTGGTCAGGTCGTGGCTTCGAGCATGAAACCAGAGCGTGAAACTGCAGCCAGGCACATCATGGACACTCCACCACCATGCTCCAACTAGGAACATGTTGTGCTGTCACCTAAAAATAAACCACCATGACCTCACCAAAAGGTTTGCTCATGCATCAAGATACCATCCATATTCAGGCTAACCTTTCTTTTTCTCTTTACAATAGCAGAAGCTTCTCCCTATGTGAAAGAAGCTCATTTGACAGACCAAGGTAGATTTCTTTTTAAAATATTATAAATATCAATTCATGCACATCCGATTTTTATTTAGCTTTTAATTTGTGGACAGTGATTTGAATGTAGGGTAACAGTTTCTGCTATCATCAGAGCGACAGTTTGGGTAAATGTCATTTCAAAATTATTTTGTAAGTTATAACATGTCGACAGTCTACACAAACTATGTACATGAATTTATTTACACTAAATCTCCCTTGCATAAATAAGCATCATTCTTGACATTTTCAGTGCCTTCCAGAATGAGCCATCTCAGGTGTCTGTCACTCTGAAAAAACTAGCTGGAACTGGCCACGCCCACAACTCCCCTGATTGGCTGCTGAAGTGAGGGGCTCAGAGTAGAGCCACTGCTCCTCTGGTGTCAACAGATTCTATGCTAGCAGCAGCTCCAAAGGTTGTGGAACTCCCTGCTGGATCATCTGCGAGCCCCACAAAACAGGGAGTCTTAAGAACACCTAAAGACCTTTTGACTTTCAAAAATGTTTCCATAGCTTTCCCTAACACGTTTTGACTTTTAATATGTTTTTATTATGTTTGATTTGTGTACGATATTTTCATCCTCTAAATTTTACTTATTCTGTAGCACATTGAGGTTTGCTTGACAAATCTAAGGTGCTTTATGAATTAAATGTATCGTTGTTGTTAATCTACATTGTGATGTCACAAACGGGGACCTTTTCAAACGGCTCGCTTTAGGCTCATAATTCCAAAAACCAGACACTGACGGAAAACAGATGGACAGGCTTTTTCACTTTTGAAGTTTTTATAGAGGCAGTAGAGACCCACATGGCATGCTAATTTATAAAGTGATTTTTGCATAATACGTTTGCTTTAAGTGACTTACTCAACATCGGTCGCATGGCAGCAAAGTTGATGCCCTGACGTCACAAGCAACTGATTCTCTGTTTTGCGCTTTAAGATGCAATACCCTGATAGATACATCCAGTAGCGCCAAGTGTTTACCAACCACCAAACCAACCTTTATCATTGTTGTAGAACCTTTCAGGTTTTACAGAACTGTGCTCAAAATCTCAAGACTCCGGACAAAGACTTTGGCCTCTTGGAAGGCATTTGGGGGGGGGGTGCGGTGGGGGGGGGGGGGGGGGGGGGGGGGGGGGACATACGTCCTCCGGCTTTCTGGCACTGACTCAAAGTCCAATTGAGGACAGAACAGGACAGAGCAGAGCTGGGCCTGGAGCCCAAAAAGAAAAGAGGGCTCCTCTGGCCCCCGTCTCCTTAACAGGAGAAGCCCAGAGGAGTGATCCTGGCAGTGTGGGAAAATGTGCTTCCCTTTGAAGCTCGCAGAGAAGTGCATGAGCACACACACACACACACACACACACACACCCGCACGCACGCACGCACACACACACAAACGGACACGCTACAAACATATGTGCACACACAGAGCTGAAGACACAGTGGTTACATCACAGTCCTTCTGCATGTAGCATTTCCATGAATGGCTACTCATTTTACACTTCTGGGAGGAGGAAGTGAAGCGCATTGATGCGAGGAACTTCCTAATCCAACAGTCCTGAAGTTCAGTTCACTCTAACAGCATGAGGTAGTGATTTACTCACTCATTCACAAAAAAAAGGACAAAGACGTCGTCCTTCTCTGAAAGAACACCTTTAACTTTAAAGTCTCTGTTTAAAAGTTGTGTAAAAATATCCTGATCAATGTCTTGTTTGAACTGTAATAAATCCATGAGATTACCCAGCATAAACCCAGTTAATCCAACAGAAACCTACAAGGAGAGTGTGGGAAAGCGTGTCTCTTTCCCAGCAGTACCTTCCTTTAATTTGTCAAATGAAACGATTACATTTCTTAAACCTTCTCTCCCTCCTCGTCTTTATCTCTCTGGAGATGAAAAGAATCATTTTCAGTCTCTCTGTGAACTTTTAAAGCTCTGCAAGTGGTTTCCCTTCTGCACACCACGGGTAAACATCTACGCTGCCACAAATTTTCCTGGTCAAGCTCGTCCCTGCCTTCACTGTAAATCTAACAGCGGGGCTTAGATGTGAGAATGGCTGGCAAATGTGGCCAACAAAAGCAAGCAGCTCAGCTGAGTCTGAACTGAAAGAGCTGTAGGGCCTGCAGAAAAGAAAAGCACCCCTCTCTTGCAACAAGTGAGCTGTGGTTAATTTCTCATAGCAGGAGAGAGGATGAGGATGAGGATACACTCTGCATGCTCTTCATGAACGCTCCCTTTTCCTCCAGTAAATACAAGAATCAATCTTGGACCGGCTGCTAAAGCCCAGCCATGGAGAAGCATTCTCCCGTCTTACTTCACAAACAAAAGCTACTTTATGGAGATATAGGCATTGCTCCCCCCGCCTTTCATGTAGAATATGGGCCCATTAATTTTTCCTCACACACCTCGTCTCCTTTCTCTCCTTTTTCCTCGCTTTATCTCTATCTTCCTGCTCATTCTGGCTCATTGAGTCTGTGAGGAGGTGGATAGGGCTGCTGAGTGGTTACTGTCCTTCTATCTGCCAAATGAGACTCAAGGAAAGAAATTAAAGGAGGAAAAAGAAGTGGGCTGAACAGACACCTTTTTTGTTCTGCTGTTGCAGGAGAAACCTCACGTGGATTCATGTGAGAGAGTTGTTTTTAGGATCAGAAGAAAAGACAAACCATGAAATTTGCACTATCACTCACTGAATCATCCAAATATGAATAAACCGCTAATTGAAAACTTTGAAGAAGGTCTGCACTTGTTGATGTAATACATTTGCAGTGGTCTCTGGCATAAATTAATGCCTGGTAAGATGATCTCAGTGGAATAAAAGCTCTGGCGCTCCTGTTTCAGGAAGTAGAATTTAGTTGGAGGAGTGGGGGGCAGAAAACAGCAGAATTTGGAGTCTTGCAATTAACATCCATGACATGCAAACATCTCACTTCTGATTGGTTAACAGCTACACAGCTCTTCCACTGCTTCTGTTTACTCTCCAACGTTGATGTTTTATCTCCACAAATAGCACAAGCCTGGAGGAGTTTGGTGGAGTCGCTAATGCTAATGGTTAGCTTTTTTATTTTTTTGCTGTTTCCTGGACACTAAATCCAGTAACTAAGATGAGTGAGTCCATGAATGATCATTTACAGTGTGAAGCAGAGCTGTGTGGCTTTTTCTGACACAAAAGGTTCCTCGATTATTTATCACCAGCTGCAAATGCAGGAAATAAGGGTAGAAGAGTATTTTCCTGTTAAGCCTGCATGACAAACTCGGAGTGACAATCATATTAAAAATTAAATATTAACAGTGAACTTCCTCTTTAACACTGATTATTTAAAATCCCATTCATTCTAAGGGACTCTCTCACTTTCACACACCAGTCACGTGCACACAGGGATCTTACCTTGCCAGTTGACTTGGGTCCCTTCCAGATGCAGAAGTAGCAGATGAACCAGGCCAGAGCCAGACACATGGCCAGTTCCCAACGCATCCCCCCCATGTGTTCGATACCATCTGATATCTTCAGCACTCTGCGTCTGATGTGAAAACACAGATGACTACTTGTTAAGTCTTATGAAATTTTGGAAATGTGTTATTTAGATGTGGAAAAAAGCTGAAGCAAAAGCTTGAACAGACTGAGTTCTGTCTCAAGGCATTTAGCTGTGCTAAATAAGTTACAACACTGTTGAAAAATAAATATATGCATGCAGCAGCTGAGTATAAATAGTAATGCTATTTCTTCTGCTGGTTTGCTGTTTTCCTCTGCAAATCTCTAAAAATCACACATTTAAGCACAACTCTTCTTCGTTTTCTATCCGCCTCCATTTCCAATGCCTCTTAAACACGCTTTGGGTGGCAAAATAGTTTTTTTTAACCAGGTGTGTTTTTTTGTTGTTGTTTTTATTGTAACCAGAAAATGCCCCCATAGCACCTTTCTAGTCTTTCACAAACATTTCATTAAACATCCTAGGAACAGTGTCTGACATAAATAATATCCATCATCAAAGCTTTCATCCACTTGTTCATAATTCAGACAGCAACACAACAGTGAAGGGAGTGAGCTGCGGTAAAAAATGGCTCCCCATCCTTAGATATTTGGGCACAATACGCACAATTACACAATAAAAACACAGTAAATGGAAGACCTGCAAAAGACGAAGAGGAAATTACTTCAGCCACTGTGGCGGCAATATGAGAACAGCGCTGAAGCAACTGCTGCTCAGTTTTGTATGGTAAGAAAAATTAGGAAGGAAAACAGGCTAATGAGCTTGAGGATTTTATGTGAAATCCTTCTGATACAAAAGAGAAATCAGCAAACAAACAGCTAGCTAAATGTAGACTCAGTAGCGCCACCATTTAAATGTAAACATCCCCAGACTGTACGCCCTAAAGTGGTTTGATTTATAGCTGGGTCTAAATGTGGAGTTATCTGAGAGAGCAGCACCGGTGATGACCCAATGTGACAAAATGGCATACAGGTGCATGCATTTATGACATCATACATCTTTGGCGGCAGTGAGTGCAGGTTATGTTCTGGTTTGCAGAAGAAGAATCAGGCAACAGCAACTGATGGAGGATGAGAAGCAGCAGAGTCACATGGGTCTGCCAAACCTTACCAACCAGTTCACCCCGGGGGCTGCTGACCAGCTATTGATCATCATGACATGTTCTTGGTGGATGGCCACTGGCTTGGTCCAACACACACACACACACACACACACACACACACACACATGCACGCACGCACGCACGCACGCACACACACGCACGCACACACACACACACACACACACACACACACGCATGCACGCGCGCGCGCACACACACACACATACACGTGGCCAAACAAATGGGCAAGGTCTGTGAGGAGAGGAGCCACTGAAGGTGAACAGATGTGTGTAAACTTCTTCTGTGTATGTTTACAAGATTTAGTACCTACTCACAAATCTTGAAAATGATGTTTTGAATACCCTAAGTGACCAGTTCCCCTCCATCCATCCATTTTCCTCCACTCATCCAGGGTTGGATCGTGGGGACAGAAGCCTAAACAGAGAAGCCCAGACTTCCCTCTCCCCAGCTACTTGGGCCAGCTCCTCCTGGGGAATCCCAAGGCGTTCCATGACTAGCTGAGAAACATAGTCCCTCCAGCGTGTCCTGGGTCTTCCTTTAGGTTTTCTCCATGTTGGATGTTCCTGGAAAACCTCACCAGGGAAGTACCCAGAGGGCTCCTCTTGATGTGGAGGAGCAGCAAATCTACTCTGAGCCCCTCCCGGATGACCAAGCTGACAGATCAATACAACGCCCGCATCACTGCAGACGCAGCACCAATCTACCTATTGATCTCCGGCTCCATCTTTTCCTCACTTGTGAACAAGACCCCGAGATTCTTAAACTCCTCCACTTGAGGCAGGACCTCATCCCTGACCCAGAGAAGGCATTCTACCCTTTTCCAACTCAAGACCATGGTCTCGGATTTAGAGGACTTGATTCTCATCCCAGCTGCTTCACAGTGAACCGCTCCAGAAAAAGCTGCAGACCATGTTGTGATGAAGCCAACAGGACCACATCATCTGCAAAATGCAGGGACCTGATTCCAAAGCCACCATAATGGATCCTCAACATCTTGGCTGTGCCAAGAAATCTTGTTCATAAAGGTTATGAACAAAATCGGTGACAAAGGGCAGCCTTGGCGGAGTCCAACTCTCACTGGGAACGAGCCCGACTTACTGCCAGCAATGCAGACCAAGCTCTAACACGGGTCATACAGGGACCTAACAGCCCGTATCACAGGGCCTCGTACCTCCTACTCCCAAGTACTACCCCTCCCTTTTCCTCCTTTACATGTGAGCTGGTTGTGTGAGTAAACAACCCCCAGAAATATTTGAGATATCAAATTTAAAATTAAATTAATGAGGGTTAAATCACTTCCTGCAAAATAAAAAAATAATTAAAACAAGGTGGTAAATAGCTTGATATAGCTTTTATTGTACAGATAATAAAGTTTATGAACTGATTACTTGGCCTCATGGTTAACAATAGTTTTTTTCTATATTTATCATGATTGTATTGATCCTAATCTGCAGACTCATGTAAGCGGCTTGTAAATTAGATTCGACCCATCAGAATGAACACAGCTACTGGCAGCCAGACAGGAAGTGTGGTCAGCATTACACACTAACAAGGCGTGATCTGCTGCCACATGCATGGCTCTCGCTGGGAGACAGCCGGCCTACCAGAGCCCGCCAACACACAAATATGAACAAGGCTGACTAATTATTTGGTGGGGGGTGGCACCTGATGCCAGCTATTAAATCTTGATAGTTTCCAAACACATACAGTGACTGCCACAGTTGTGATGTTGCTTTGTGCACAAAAGAAAAACAAGAATTTGTACTCACTCCCAGAATTCCATGACTGGAGAAGTTGCGTTGGGGTTTGTGATGTTGGTGGCGTTTTCTCCATAATAATCGACACAGTTTTCTGTGAAAACGCACAAGATCTCAGCAGGTTAGTTAGCTGCCATGAGCTGCATCTCCTCCTGTGGCTCCTTCTACTACCTGTGTTCCAGTAATGCCCGCAACCGGCCCACGGCAGCTCAGTGGTGAAGCAGTTGAAGAGGTAGAAAATGGCCCAGGCCAAGATTACGATGTAATACACGTTTAGGTGAGCTTCAATCACCTGTGTTGCATAGCCAATACCTGCAAAGGGAAAAAAATGTATTTCTGCAGCTGAGTCATTAAATATGAAATCACTGTCAAGACTAGAAGTCAAGGATGTTGGATTTTCTTTTGCCCATACCGATGTGTAGAAGTCGTGGTCAGATATGTGCCTCTGATTTTTTTGGGGTGATTTTTTTTGGGGAGCCAGTAGATGCTCTCCATGCTATTTTCATGCAAAAATGTCACTAATTACAGTTGATGCATAAATGTTTTGAAGCTGAATCAGTTTTAGAAGTCTGAACCCGCTTGTCCATGTTGGGTCATGGGGGGGGGGGGGGGGCTGGTGCCTATCTCTAGGGCAACACAGAGACACACAGGACAAACAATCACACACACACACACACACGCACACACACACACTAACACCTAAGGACAATTTAGACAGACAAATTAACCTAACAGTCATGTTTTTGGACTGTGGGAGGAAGCCGGAGTACCCGGAGAGAACCCACACATGCACAGGGAGAACATGCAAACTCCATGCAGATAGATCCCAGGCCGGGGAGTGAACCCAGGACCTTCTTGCTGCAAGGCAACAGCTCTAACCACTGCGCCACTGCTCAGCCCTTCGGTGCACCGCTCAGTGTTAAAACCAGACAAACTAAAGCTAATCAAACTAATCAATTGACAGACCAAGTATTAAAAAAAATCAAAAATTGTGAATAAAAATTAGTTTTAATTGGAAAAAGTTTTAGAGCCCTCATTAAGCAGATGTTGTTCAGAAAAGTAAATATACATTTTAATTCAATTTTGCAACAGCACTGGGCTACCCGCGCATGTGCCTGGCTTTAAACTGGCTTCAGGAGGTATACCGGCCAATGGCCATATACGGTAAATGTCTTCCTGTCTACCAATAGTCAATACATTTATGAGCACTGGATGAAAAGCAACAACATCTACTCACCTTCGAACAACGGGCAGACTTTCCTCCAGCAGGTGATGCCTCCCTCACTTGTAAACTGACCCAAAGCCGTCTCCAGGAAAAACACGGGGATGCCGCAACACACGAAGAAGATGACATACGGAACAAAGAAGGCACCTTTATGCACAGAAAGACAAACACAGCTGTTCAAAACCTACCAATGATGCCACATCAGCCATATGAAGTGACCTTTTCAGGCTTGATGCTGCACCGTACTGTGCAGCCTAAGAAGGAAACTTGCCTCTCCTCATGCTAAACATATTTTCTTAATAAATTATCTTAAATTGTTACACAAGGCTCATTTTCTGCTTTATCAAGAATACTTCACGAGCAAATTTCCAACATGGAACTGTTTTCACCAACTCTAGTTTTGTTAAAAGTTGTGTTCGTTCTCCTCTTGCCTCCTCCGTTTTTGTAGCAGAGGTAAGGAAACCTCCAGACATTGCCCAGCCCGATGATCTCCCCAGCCACAGACAGGATGAACTCAATCTTGTTGTTCCACATGCCCCTCTCATTGTAGACGTACTCGTCGCTGTCCAGGCTCGAGCTGGACCCCTCTGGGTCTCTGCCATCCTCTGGTTTACCGTTTATAACGGGCCCACTCTTCTCAGCTGTCATGACGCTCGGGCAGCCCGCTGAGAGGAGAAAAAAGGACAAGAAAATCTCTGCAAAATGTAAAATGCGTGTGGTTTCTGTTTTGTGAAAATGTTTAAAAACATGAAGCACTTTAATTTAACCTCTTATTAAAGACAGAATAAAGTCATCATAATAAATTAAAATGCTTATAGAAAGTTCATTTAAAGAAGAAAATACTTGCACACCTTTTTTATTTCCTCTAATAAATCAGCCTCAGCACAGTTGGCACAAATTTAAAGTATGTGAACAAACATAACGGGTAAGAAATAGTCCACAATATCTAAATCTTCCAATTGGGTGTTAAATTATTGCACCTGAGTGAAAACATGCAAAGACAAGAAGTCTCTGTACTCACCAGTCCCCTGTGGAATAGTATCAAGCCTCCTTTTTGCTCCTGAGGTGATGCGCGCAAAAAAAATCAGCTTTTCAAAAGCTGGTTAAGCCTGATCAGGGAGGGTGAGGAAGAGAGGAAGGAGGGAAAACAAAAGAAGAACAAGGAAAGAAAACAATCTGCACACGCAGATGAATGAGATGGTTTTGTCAAGTCTCGCCTGTATATAAAGGAGGACTCCAGACGTGGTACAGAGCTGCACAAGGCAACAGAGAAGCTGTGACTGCACGCCCTCTCAGCTCAGAGCGTGTTCCGCTCTCAGCGCCTCTAGTTGGATGAGAGCCATGTAGTACCAGGTCCAGGTCGCTCAGCAGCAGAAGGACAAAACATGGAGGGAAGAGGATGGCAGCAAGGTCAGAGATTTAGAAAACCAGAAGTAGCAACACATTAGCAGGTAAAATCTGTACAATAAAAGTAGGTGTCACAATAGAGAGCTGCTACGAACAGAACAGAAAATATTTTAAAATGCATTTCCACCAGCTGGGACTGCTGTGAAATGATCCCAAAATGTCTTTCAAAAGAATCTAAAACAGGAAGTTTACAACAGGAAGCTAAATCAGAGTGATATAATTAGCTGCAAAAAAAAAAATAAGCTAGCAAAAGCATCAAGCTACTGAGACCAGGTGAGTCCAGATGAGCAGGATGGCTAATAGGTGAACTGAGTAAATCATCAACGGGAAGGTAAGAGAATCAGTGACAAATGAAGCAGACATGGGTTAAAAATCTGACAAAAACATTGTGAATTAAGAAATATCTACAACTGAATTAAAAATGTGGTTCACTAGTTTAATAAATACATTTGTAGTAGTCTTTAATGGGAAGGAATGCCCTGTAAGTCGTACTCTGAAGAAAAAAGCTCTGATGCGCTTGTTTCAGGAAGTACAAGTTAGGAGAAAGTAGCTCTTACTTCCTGATATTTGGACATCTCGCCTCTGATTGGTTAACAGCAACGCAACTCTACCACTAACTCCATTTGCTCTGCAACTTTGATGTTTTATCAATAACACAAGCCTAAAGAAGTTCTGCTGTGTGGTGGAGTTGCTAAAGCTAACAGTAAGCTTTTACTAGCTTCCATTTCCTGGACACTAAAATGTTAAATTGTCTGTATTTGGCATAACACCCTCTAGAGTCCTGGAACCCCCCAAAGTGCTTTATAACACAATGAGTCCTTCATCCATGCACACACACATTCACACACTGGTGGGGATGAGTTACAATGTAGCCACAGCTACCCTGGTGCGTACTGACAGAGGCGAGGTCTGCCAATGACTGGCACTACCGGCCCCTCCGACCACCACCAGCCCTAAACATTACACAGCTTCTCCCATCACGAGTCATGATGGAGAGTCCATGAATGTTAAGTGACAGCGTGATCTAAATGTGTCAGTATTTTCAAATCCTAGAGTTTCACCATCCAATGCAGGAGATAGGTGTAGAATATTCTCATGTTCATTCTGCATGTTAAACTCATGACGATCGATTAAAATAAGAGATAATAATTAAAAAATGTTTTTCCAGTTTCCTTTAAAATAAACACAAAAAAACTGTAAAGGGTGTCACACGCTGGACTCACTGATGGTGGGGTTCATTCCCAGCCCTGTCAAGTTAAAACTACCCACATATCATCAAATACTCCAGTAAATTCAAGGCACACCGTTGTCCCTCGCCACCTTATTTTACAGCATTTTAAAGTGAGATCATTCAGATAAATCACTATTGTAAGATTCTGATAGACCTCTTTCACAAGACCCAGTGGGATCGGTTTTTTGTGAATGACTTTCAGCTAAAACTTCAAATTTTAGCTCAATATCTGTAAGCCCTTTTTGTGCTTTCTCATGTTGTTTAATGGTGGCAACCACTCTGAATTGGATTGACTCCAAAAGGTCTAATGACTCTGTAGATGTCAAATGAAAAAAAAAATCCTGAAAAGTTTAATCAAACCCGCCTAGAAGTAGAACCGGTCAGTGGATCGTGTTAAAATGGTCCTTGTTAATTGTAGCCTTTGACCATATAAAGGCTCTAATGATTAATACATACATTTATATGTATTTTAAGTCATTTTAACTTTGTTTGTTGTTTGAAGTCCTGTGGGAAGTCACCCCTTTTCTTCTCAGAAGCACTGACCCCATTTAATTTTATGGATCAATGTCAAGAGTCTTCTTTTTTTTTTGTAGGTCCAGCTTCTCCTCAAGCTTTACTCACAGCATACCAAGTCAGAACGTTTTGTCTTCTGCAGAAGAAGTCACTCTGCAACCAGGAACACAGAGCGAACAGATTTCCTAGAAACACTTCTGTACAGTTGTCCGCAGCCAATGTTGAATGGCCAACCTGTCATAAAGTCCTAATTACACACGCTGCTTGGAAAACAATTGTCTCCCTTTGAGCTCAGATTGGGGGAGGGCTGTAGGGTCTGCTCAAACACAACCTGACTGCTTGGTTTCCAGGCGTGATAGACGAGTGCAGTAGGAACTCCCTGAATCTAAAAGCCTGACCCAGTCTGTAAGAGTCCGTTCACACAGGGGTCACTCGTCATTAGAAGCTTAAAGGAAGCGCCTTGCATAAAAAGTATGACCACCCAAAGTGGCTGGCAAAGAACTCAGTGTGCTTTTCAAGCAAAGTCGTGCTGCCCTTCACAACATTGTCAGAAGGTGATTTTTTTATGAATGAAATCCAAAACACGTGTGCAGATGCAAAGCCGCTTCTGGTCTTAACTTTTAGCCATACAGCGGTAGCATCCAAACAAAAACCTCTATCTGTCTGATGGACCTGAAAGTTGGCGTGCTGGTCAGAGGTTGGTAGGCGTTATCCTCATGGCCTGGAGAAAGTGAGATCTGACAGAGTGATGTGATTCCTCAGTCCTGGGATCAGAAAGTTGTTCTGTAGTTAGAATGGGAATTATCACTGAGCAAAGAGAAAACCAAAGAGCTTTTTTATGAGCATATGGGTGGAACTGGAATAATGAGAATATGGAGCAAAAGTGAATCCATGTCAGTAATTCAACTTAGACTGAGAGACCATCTAAAGGTTCAGGAACCATTTGCAGGTGTTTTGGATTCATTAGCTGATAAAATGTGACACTTTGAGTCTAGAATATTGAACATTTCAGCTCATTCCAGAAGGGGAGGTGGACAAGGGCAGGAGGCTAGGAGCTATAAACACAGACATCATATGTGTACACCCCGTGGACTAGTGCTGCATATCAGAGCTGGCATAGCTGCCATCTTGGATGGGTTCTCCATTCACCCCAGTTCTTTTATTTCTACTGTGGAAGGTGTTACCCAACTAAGAAAAGCATATCATATGCTTTTTCACAAAATCAGACATGTGGTATGGCATGATAGTTAACATATAAATATAAATAAGCAAAGTAAATAAAAATAAACATTTTCTAAAATCCCAACAGAAAACATCAACGTAATCCCACCTGATCTGTTTTCAACGGTGGGAAGAGTTAGGTGCTCGTGCTATGACCAGAGGGTTGCAGGTTCGAGCCCCAGTCAGTTTGTTGCTGTCATTGTGTCCTTATGCAAGACACTTAAACCCCCTTGCCTGCTGGTAGTGGTCGGAGGGACTGGTGGCACTAGTGCTCAGCAGCCTCGCCTCTGTCAGTGCGCCCCAGGGCAGCTGTGGCTACAGTGTAGTTCACATATGTCAGACACAAGGCCTGCGGGCCAGATGCGGCCCGAGGAGCATTTTTATGTGGCCCACGACATAAATATCAAAAATATATTAAAACTGGCGAGCTGGCCGATTTTACAGCAAAGACTTAAACTCCCATGATGCTTTGCGGCGTCGGCGCGGAGCCGACGCGCCCCCTCCTTTGTGTTTTTTCCAGCGCCTGCTGCCGGTGTGCAGCTCCGCTGTCTCGGACAAACTAAACACTCCTCTCACTCAGCTATTTTCTGACGTTGAAGCCCAGAAACGGAGATTCTAGCCGCTCAGTAATGTGTTCACGACTGAAAGAGAAAGTTTTCCAACTAACGTCCAGACAGAGCTGATATAACTCCAGTGAACAGCGACACGCTCAAACCAGCACGACTCTGTGGCTGCTGTCGTGTTTCCTCCCCGACACACAACAACGTGGTCAAGCTGCTCAGACATGTTCATCAGCACAAACCTATGTGAGCACCTGTTGTCATCTAATGTTGTCATTATTATGATGAAGATGAACAAAACAACAGGAGTCTCCTCCTCAGCTCAGATCAACCCCATGATGCAGGTATCTGGCTGGAACAGGTGAGCATCACAGTAAACCAGTGGAGCAAACTGAGCTTTAAATATGTTGGTTTTATGCTCTTTTTCTGCTCCAAAACATGAAAGTTAACAGGTGAGATGTTGCACTTTCATTTAAGATAAAATGATATTTTTAATTTGTTGTTGGCACGTGAGCAAAGATTTAACCTACAGTAAACAGGAAGTGGAAAGGCTGCAGATAGATGAATAGAATAGAAAATCCCTTTATTGTTCCTCAGTGGGGAAAGCTAGATGTCACAGCAGTGATGACACTTATTACAGGAGAAAAAAAGGAGAATAAAAAATAAGAAAAACGAATAAAAAAGAAAACATAAATCCTGAATAGATTTTAAAAATGCTGATTATACCACAAGTAATGAATACCACTGATGCCTTTTATTTAAAACTGACTTGCTCGTGTGTCATTTGGTTATTCCACATTCAGTGTTAATGCAGAAATGTTTGTTTCCAAGTTTAAAGGTTCAAAATTGCATATATGTTGATAAAGAAAATGTGCAAATTTGCCGTCACTTTTTCAAAAAATATTAAGTTTAGCCCTCGACTCCGTCCCAGAGTTTCATTTCAGCCCCGTGTGAGTTTGAGTTTGACACCCCTGGTGTAGTTCATCCCCACAAAGGTGTGAATGGGTGAATGACTGATTGTGTTGTAAAGTTCCTTGGTGGGTTCCAGGACTCTTAAAGGCGCTATATCAAATACAGGCCATTTACCATTTAATAGCACACCAGTTGTTGCAACTGCAGGCTACACAAAAAACGGGCATAGTTGCTCACTCTGCATGACTCCAGTTGGGTTTGGAGAGTAAGGAACCCACCCAATATGGTGGCGACGTTGTTATGCTCTCCATTGCCCAATGGCATCTATGTATTCATGTCTTTGGCTAAAACTGTTCAAATTTCAAAATGTCCTGCTCCTCCCATAAATGACAGACTAAAATCTGTTTCACATGGCAGGGACAAGTAAACACACAAACACATATGCGCACACACGCACACACACACATACACACACACACACAAACACACACACACACACACACACACACACACACACACACACACACACACACACCACTAAACCTGCTCCTTGTTTAGCATTTCACTTCTTCGGTTTGTTTA